TCCGACTAATTTTTGTATTTTAGTAGAGGCGGGGTTTCACCATGTTGGTCATGCTGGTCTTGAACTCCTGATCTCAGGTGTTTCACCCACCTTGGCCTCCCAAAGTGCTGAGATGTGAGCCACTGCATCTGGCCGGGAATAAGATTTTTAAAGGAGGAAGTATGTTAGCCAACATTTATTGGTGAAGAGCTTAGTACTTCCCCTTGCTTCCTAGGAGAGCTCATCAGATAAAGCAGATACAAAAGTGGCTTCCAGAGATAGGGAGTAGGTGTGAAGGCCAGGATGCGAGAGGCCAGGCCTGTTGTAACTAGAAGCAGTTCAGTGGCTGGAGGACGAGTGAGAGATCCTGCGGTGGCAGAGTCCAGTCACCAAGGTTCTGGTAAGCCAGCGACACCTGGGCTTTAGCAGGAGGAGGATGGGGCCAATGCTGAGTGTTGAGCAAGGGAGTGGTGACATCAGCTTTGCACATCAGGAGAATCCTTCTGTTTGCCACGTGGATGAGGGGGAGTAAGAGACAGGCAGATGAGCTGGGCACCAGGATGGGCTGCAGGTGAGACAGAGTGGTGGCTCGAGCTAGGGATGAGACATTGGGGGGTGTGGGAGATGTATTGAATGGAGAATCAGGGACATGGAGAAGAGAGGAGGAGGGATTGGGGATGATGCCTCTTTTCTGGCTTGGACAGCATGCCCCAAGCAGCTGGTAGAAGATACAAGATACACAGACAAGTGTTTTAGACATTGTTCATTCACTCTGTTTATAGCCAAGATGTAAGTTTCACTAATCCTGTTTCGGATGGTAAATGGAGATCTAGAGAGGTTAAGTGGTTTCTGCAGGGTGCCGCGGGTAGTCTTCGGAGGTCTAGGGAGGTTAAGTGGTTTCTGCAGGGTGCCGGGTAGTCTTCGGAGGTCTAGGGAGGTTAAGTGGTTTCTGCAGGGTGCCGGGTAGTCTTCGGAGATCTAGGGAGGTTAAGTCGTTTCTGCAGGGTGCCGGGTAGTCTTCGGAGGTCTAGGGAGGTTAAGTGGTTTCTGCAGGGTGCCGGGTAGTCTTCGGAGGTCTAGGGAGGTTAAGTGGTTTCTGCAGGGTGCCGGGTAGTCTTCGGAGGTCTAGGGAGGTTAAGTCGTTTCTGCAGGGTGCCGGGTAGTCTTCGGAGATCTAGGGAGGTTAAGTCGTTTCTGCAGGGTGCCGGGTAGTCTTCGGAGGTCTAGGGAGGTTAAGTCGTTTCTGCAGGGTGCCGGGTAGTCTTCGGAGGTCTAGGGAGGTTAAGTCGTTTCTGCAGGGTGCCGGGTAGTCTTCGGAGGTCTAGGGAGGTTAAGTCGTTTCTGCAGGGTGCCGGGTAGTCTTCGGAGATCTAGGGAGGTTAAGTCGTTTCTGCAGGGTGCCGGGTAGTCTTCGGAGGTCTAGGGAGGTTAAGTGGTTTCTGCAGGGTGCCGGGTAGTCTTCGGAGATCTAGGGAGGTTAAGTCGTTTCTGCAGGGTGCCGGGTAGTCTTCGGAGGTCTAGGGAGGTTAAGTGGTTTCTGCAGGGTGCCGGGTAGTCTTCGGAGATCTAGGGAGGTTAAGTCGTTTCTGCAGGGTGCCGGGTAGTCTTCGGAGATCTAGGGAGGTTAAGTGGTTTCTGCAGGGTGCCGGGTAGTCTTCGGAGATCTAGGGAGGTTAAGTGGTTTCTGCAGGGTGCCGGGTAGTCTTCGGAGATCTAGGGAGGTTAAGTGGTTTCTGCAGGGTGCCGCGGGTAGTCTTCGGAGATCTAGGGAGGTTAAGTCGTTTCTGCAGGGTGCCGCGGGTAGTCTTTGGAGCATGGGGATTCGGACCCAGATCTTTTCCCTTTGGTATCTTTAGCCTCTCATTGTGCAGTTCTCCCTTGGTGGAAAGAGAGTCAGTTCTGTGGCTGTTGGTCTGAGACCCAGGGGTGGGGTTGGGTGGAACATGGACTTGGGTGAAAATTGGTTAAGGGGGAGGAGCAGAAAGTCTTAGCAGAATCGATGGTTGAGTCTACATTGTTTTTCCCAAACCTAGCACAGGACAGTGAGACAGCGCTCTTCCTCAGCCTGTCCCTGGATGCTCCTTCTGTCAGGAGGACAGTTTTGCTGGAGATGGCCTCAGCCTGCTCTTCCTATCTGAATGGCGGGTGAAGGACATGCTAGCCTAGGCTAGCCTGGTGCCAGAGGCCCCCAGATAGGGAAATAGTGTGGATTCTCTTGTGGCTGCTGGCACCTTCCTGGGTGCCTGGCCCCCAGAGGTGGCTTTCCTGACTCATCTGGAGGCCATGGCTTACTGGCCTCTAGATGTCCTTGAGAAAAACATGTGTGAGGCATAAATTGATATGAACATTCCTCAAGGCAGTTTGGCAGTGCATTTAAAAATAAATGAGTATTCATTGTGTCTTCTGGAGTTTTTCTGTATAGTTACTAAAAATCTCATTCTAGGGGACTATTCAATGACATGGAAAATACTCATGGTTTATTAAGTGAAAAAGTCTTTGTGTGCATCTGTGTTTATATATGTATATCTCAGTGTGATGAGATTGTGACTTTTCTTTATTTCTTTGTCCTTTTATTTTGAGACAGGGTCTCACTCTGTCACCCAGGCTGAAGTACAGTGATGTAGTCAGCTCACTACAGCCTTGGTCTCCTGGGCACAGGCAATTCCCTGTGCACCACCACACCTGGCTAATTTTTATATTTTTTGTAGAATCAGGATTTTGCTATGTTTCCCAGACTTGTCTCAAATTTCTGGCCGCAAGTGATCCACCACCTTGGCCTCCCAAAGTGCTGGGATTACAGTTGTGACCCACTGCACCCAGCCCTCTTTGTACTTTTCTATATTAACAAATTTTTGAGGTCAGATGTGGTGGTTCACACCTGTAATCCCAGCAAGGCTGGGCGTGGTGGCTCACACCTGTCATTCCGGCAATTTGGGAAGCCGAGGAGGAAGGATCACTTGAGCCCAAGAGTTGGAGACTAGCCTAGGTAACATAATGAAACCCTTTCTGTTTTATAAAATGAAATATTTATTTTAAAAACGTGATGCTCCCACCTCAGCCTCATGAAGAGCTAGGACTACAGGCATGCAGCACCGTGCCTGACTAATTTTTAAAAATATTTTTTGTAAAGGCAAAAAAAAAATAAAAATATTTTTTGTAAAGTCTTGCTGTGTTGCTCAGGTTCGTCTCAAGCAGTTCTCCCACCTTGGCCTCCCAAAGCACTAGAATTATAGGCTTAAGCCAATGTTTCCAGGCTACATTTTCCTATTTCATGATTCATTCACTTATTCAACAAATACTTGCTGAAAGCCTCTGATGTGTCTAGGCCTTTTCTCAGTGCAGGGGGAAGAGGGGCGAGTGAGGCACATATGGGCTCTGCTATTATGGGCCTTACAGACCAGTGTGTGTGTGGCGGAGTGGCAGGCAGGCAGATACCCAGTCAGAGAAAAGAAGGGATGTGTGGATAGGCTGGGCATGGTGGCTCGTGCCTGTAATCTAAGCACTTTGGGAGGCTGAGACAGGATCCTTGGAGCCCAGGAGCTTAAGGCTGTAGTGAGCCATGACTGAGACCAGCCTGGGCGACATAGCGAGACCCCATCTCTACAAAAAATTTAAAAGTTAGCCAGGCATGGTGGCATCTGCCTGTACGCCAGCTATGTGGGAGGTGGAGGCAGGAGGTTCACTTGAGCTCAGGAGTTTGAGGTTTCAGTGAGCCATGATCTTGCCACTTCTCTCCAGCCTGGGTCCCAGAATGACACTCTGTCTCCAAAAAAAATGAAGAAAGGGGCTGTGTAGAGAAAGAACAATGAGGAGGTGACAGAGAGAGAACTCAGCAAAGGGAGGAACAGTCAAGTATGGCCTCATGAAAGAGGGCACAGTTGAATAGAGACCTGCATAGTGAGAAGGAAGAAAAGCTCAGCAGAGAAAGAACATTCCAGGTGGAGGGAACAGCCAACGTAAGGGCCGCTGGGTGAGAACGAACTGCGTGAATTTGATCAGAGGAGGGATTGGAAGTTGGTCAGTCCACTATGTAGAAATAGAAACCCGCATTTCAAAGAGACCATACATCCATGATGCAAGAAGTTTCTATGAGGGGAGCTTAGAAGTCTCTACAGAACATGGAGAGCTACAGTATCCTTCCAGCTGTCATCAGGTACAGAGCATCTACCTGAACTGTTGCAGCCTGCCTGTTAGAGCTGTGACTGTGATATTGACAAGAGCCCAGGACTTGGAGGGAAAAGACCTAGAGTCAAGTCTCTGCTGTTTGGTCTTGAGTGAGTCTCATGACCCTCTGGCCCTCAGTGGCTTCTAAAAGCTGGGGATGACGCTACCTGCCTTATAAGGTAGGGTCAGGATTAAATGAGTGAATGAGCACTTTGTGAAAGATGGCATGCATGGAAGGGCTGTATATCTTCAGTAAGCGAAGCTTTGAAGCCAAAGTGCAAAGGGTTGGGTCTCCATGTGGAACAGAGTGAGGTGCTGTGTGGATGGACTCTGAGCGCTGAGGAGGCTGTCCAGCCAGGCAGGGGCTTGTTCTGTACCATCTCATTAACACAGCAGCTGAGATTGGTTCATTGTTCTCCTACTGAGTGTCTTTCCTGTTTCTCTTTTCCATAGCCTGTCCAACCTGGTGGGCTTCACAGTTCAGGATGTGTTCAGTGAAGCCAGGTCTACACTCGCTCTAATCCACACTGATCTCTCTCTCTTCTCATGGAGACCCACAAATTATCACCTCATTACTTGCGGTTTTGTGTCTTTTCACTGACTGCCTCCCTGTCTAGATCAGAAGCTACTTGGGAGTAAGAACTGCTTTTTGTATTCTTTCCTCTCCTCCAACATAAATCATAGAGGTCAGAACATACTGAAGTGCATTTTGAGTTAAAGTGCTCAAAAGCAATCTTCATGACACCTGTTTACTTTAGCACCTGCCTAAAAGTTCCCTGTTTAGGGAACTTTTGTTTGTTAAACATACGTCTTTTTATGACTAGGCATTGAAAAGATTGTAATGCTTTGTTCTGTAGCCCCCAGGTTTCCCTAGATGACAAATAAACATTCCTTTTCCTGCCTGAAGATCATCTGTGGGAACCTTGGCCATGGCATCGCTATCTGAGCCTGTTACATTCAGAGAGTTCTGCCCGTTGTACTATCTTCTCAATGCCATTCCGACGAAGATCCAGAAGGGTTTCCGTTCCATCGTGGTCTACCTCACGGCCCTCGACACCAACGGTGACTACATCGCGGTGGGCAGCAGCACTGGCATGCTCTACCTGTACTGCCGGCACCTCAACCAGATGAGGAAGTACAGCTTTGAGGTGAGCCTTGCTTTGCTTTACTCCTGAGTAGCCATGAGACACAGCGGATGGTTGACATGCTTGTGTTCTAGGATGAGATAATTTACTTCTGATTTGCCAGAATATGACCTCAGTACCTCACCCAAGCAATACTTTAAAACCATCTTTAACTGAAGTGGAATTTAACTAAAAACATTGGTGTTTTTAACTTTTTCCTGCCTCCAAAAATCTAATATCACTTTATTTATGTATTTGTTTATTTATTTGAGACAGTCTTGCTTTGTTGTCTAGCCTAGAGTGCAGTAGGACAATCACAGCTCATTTTAGTCTCAAACTCCTGGGCTCAAGTGATCCTTCTGCTTCAACTTCCCAGGTAGCCAGGGTCATAGGCAGGCACCGCCACATCCAGCAATTTTTGTTTTGTTTTGTTTGTAGAGACATGGTCTTGCCATGTTGCCCAGGCTGGTCTTGAACTCCTGAGCTCAAGCAGTCCTCCTGCCTTGGCCTCCTAAAGTGCTGGAATTATAGGCCTAAGCCACCACACCTGGCCTAATACCACTTTAAAAGAGAACATCACCTGGGGTCAAGAGTTTTGAGTCTAGCCTGACCAGTATGGTGAAACCCTGTCTCTACTAAAAATACAAAAATTAACCAGGTATGGTGGCGTGCACCTGTAGTCCCAGGTACTTGGGAGGCTGAGACAGGAGAATTGGTTGAACCTGGGAGGTGGAGGTTGCAGTGAGCCAAAATTGCACCACTGCACTCCTGCCTGGGTGACAGAACAAGACTGTCTCAAAAAAAAAAAAAAAAAAAAAATAGAGAACATTTTAGTGTTTAACACTTCCTAGAACACTCTGAAAGTAGATATTGGCTAGGCACAATGGCTCATGTCTGTAGTCCCAGCATTTTGGGAGCCCAAGGCGGGTGGATCACAAGGTCAGGAGTTCAACATCAGCCTGGCCAACATGGTGAAACCTTGTCTCTACTAAAAATACAAAAAATTAGCTGCACATGGTGGTGTGTGCCTGTAGTCCCAGGCAGAAGAAATGGCTTGAACCCAGTAGGCGGAGTTTGCAGTGAGCTGAGTTCACACCACTGCACTCCAGCCTGGGTGACAGAGTGAGACTATGTTTCAAAAAAAAACAAAAGCAGATTTTTTTCCCTAAGTGTTTACAATAGCAAGTCTATACCTGTTTTTCACAGTACCTTGACTGATTTGAATAATCTCTGGTTCTTCTCTGAAATTATTATGAAGAAAGGATTTATATGAATATTGGCTAATTGCCAGAATATGCGCCTCTTAGATAAGATCTCTTCTGTAGCATTGGGATCCTGACCAATCTCTTGCTGCAGTGCTGTGGACTCAGGCACTTCTGTGTGTAGATATTGGTGGAGATGGCATTTGACCGTGTTGTGTCTGGCACCAACTGTTGGTAAACTGTAATGCAGTTTACCCATTTAGTCAGTATCTGTAGTTTACCGAGTACATCACTTTTGTAAGAGACTCAAAGTTGACTGAGTTGTGGCTTCCACCACACGGGACTCTATTCTGTCTGTTGTTAGGGGGCTTTTACGGACCAAGATACAGCTTTTGTACCTAAGAGAAATGTTTACAAATACTTGTGTTTTAATCAATATTCAATATATTAACATTTTAATTTAAAACTTAACTAACTTAAGCCTCTGTGCTCATTTTAAAATAATAAAAATGGTTGGTACACATATAGCCCTTTCTATGTGTCAGACATTGTTCTTATTAAAAAGATTTTTTTTAAATTATTAACTCATTTTATCCTCACAAAAACTCTCTGAGGCAGAGGTTAACATTATATTCCTCATTTACTAAGGAGGTAGCTGGTGAAGTGAGGGTAGGTGACTTGCCTGAGATTGACAGGTAGTAAATGGCAGCACCACTGTGTGAATTTGAGCAGACTGTCTCTTGGGTCTGTATTAATTTTTTTTTTTTGAGACAGAGTTTCACTCTTATTTGAGCAGACTGTCTCTTGGGTCTGTATTAATTTTTTTTTTTTTGAGACAGAGTTTCACTCTTTTTGCCCAGGCTGGAGTGCAATAGCGCGATCTCGGCTCACTGCAACCTCCGACTCCCAGGTTCAAGCAATTCTCCTGCCTCAGCCTCCGGAACAGCTGGGATTACAGGCGCCCATTACCACACCCAGCTCATGTTTGTGTGTGTGTGTGTGTGTGTGTGTATTTTTTTTTTTTGAGACAGAGTCTCACTCTGACTCCTAGGCTGGAGTGTACTGGTGCTATCTTGGCTCTGCAACTTCTGTCTCCTGGGTTTAAGCAATTCTGCCTCAGCCTACCAAGTAGCTGGGACTATAGGTACATGCCACCAGGTTGGCTAATTTTTATATTTTTAGTAGAGATGGGGTTTTACTATGTTGGCCAGGCTGGTCTTGAACTCCTGACCTCAGGTGATCCACCTGCCTCGGCCTCCCAAAGTGCTGGGATAACAGGCGTGAGCCACTGAACCCAGCCTAATTTTTGTATTTTTAGTAGAGATGGTGTTATATTGGCCAGGCTCGTCTCGAACTCCTGATGTCAGTTGATCTGCCTGCCTCGGCCTCCCAAAGTGCTGCAGTTACAGGCGTGAGCCACCACCTGTGCACGTGTATTAATATTTTCTGTATAAAAATTAGAACTACTGCTGTTCCTTTTCTTTGAGCTCATGGATTTGACTGATCTAATTCCCCAACATTTAAAACTGTTACATAATCTTTCTAACTGTACTTACGAGTTTAATATGTCTGAAATCGCTCACATACTTCAAACACTTATAAGAAAGACTTGTGAATCCAGCAGTGAACCCCAACAGGATAAATCCAAGAAATCCATGCACAAAGGCATCATAGTCAAACTGCTAAAGATAAAAGTCTTAAACGTAGCCAGAGGAAGATGACGTATTACCAGTAGAGGAACAATGATTTGAATGACTGTGGATTTCTCATCAGAAACTGTATTAGCCCGTTCTCATGCTGCTATGAAGAAATACCCAAGACTATGTAATTTATAAAGGAAAGAGGTTTAATTGACTCACAGTTCCGTGTGGTTGAGGAGGCCTCAGGAAACTTACAGTTATGGTGGAAGGTACCTCTTCACAGGACTGCAGGAGAGAGAATGAGTGCCCAGCGAAGGAGGAAGCCCCTTATAAAACCACCCCCATGATCCAGTTATCTCCACATGATCCCTCCCACAACAGATGGGGATTATGGGAACTGTAAATCAAGATGAGATTTGGGTGAGGACACAGCCGAACCATGTCAGAAACCAGGGAGGTGGGACAAAAGTAGCATTTTTTTTTTTTTGAGATGGAATTTTGCTCTTGTTGCTCAGGCCAGAATGCAATGGTGCGATCTCGGCTAACTGCAACCTCAACTTCCCGGTTCAAACGATTCTCCTGCTTCAGCCTCCTGAGTAGCTGGGATTACAGACACCCACCACCATGCTCGGCTAATTTTTGTATTTTTAGTAGAGATGAGGTCTCATCATGTTTTTCCAGGCTGGTCTCGAACTCCTGACCTCAGATGATCCATCTGCCTCGACGTCCCAAAGTGCTGGGATTACAAGTGTGAGGCACCATGCCTGGCCAATAGTAGTACATATTTTTAAAGTGCTGAGAGCCGGGCACCGTGGCTCACACCTGTAATTCCAGCACTTTGGGTAGCCCAGGCAGGTGAATCACCTGAGATCAGGGGTTTGAGACCCCCCTGACCAACATGGTGAGACTCTCATTCCTACTAAAAATACAAAAATTAGCTGGACGTAGTGACTCATGCCTGTAATCCCAGCTACTCAGAGGGCTGAGGCATGAGAATCACTTGAACCCAGGAGGCGGAGGCTGCAGTGACCTCATATCATGCCACTGCACTCCAGCCTGGGCGACAGAGTGAGTCTCATCTGAAAAATGAAATAAAATCAAAGAAAGTGCTGAGAGAATTGTCAACCCAGATATTACTTACTCACTGAAAATACCTATCAAGAAAGAAGGCGAAATCAAAGTATTTTCAGACGAAGGAAAACTAAGAGGGTTCATTGCCAGCCGACCTGCTCTGAAGTCACTGCTAAATGAAGTTCTTCAGACAGAAGGGAGCTTTGTACATCAGGAATGAAGAAGAGTAAATACCTGGGTAATAAATGCAATAGGTGATTTTTTTCCCCTATTGAATTCTTTAAAATACATTTGACAGTTGAAAACAAGAATGATAACTGATCACGTTTTAACATATGTAGATGTAGTAGTATCTGAGACAAGTATAACATAAGGGAGAGTGAGATTCTCTATGCCTTTGTACATTTTTCTTGAAGAGGTACAATGTTGATGCTAAGTAGATTTTGAAAAAATACATATATATGTATTGCAATCCCTAGAGCAACCACTATACAATGAGGTAGATATATCAAAATGACATTTCAAAAAAATGTTGAAACAGCTAACAGGAGAGTAGGAAAGGGGAAACAAGAAGGAAAAATGGAAAGAACAGACAGAAAACAAATAAAATGATAGACCTAAATCCAAATATACCAATAGTTACGTTAAATGCAAATGATCTAAATGTGTCAATTAAAAGACAGAAGTTGTCAGCATGGGTATAAAATGATGAACCAGCTGTATGTTGTCTATAAGAAATTCAATTCAAATATAATGATATAGGTAGGCTGAGAGTAAAAAGATGGAAGAAGATTCGCCATGTAAACACTAATCAGTAGAAAGTTGGTGTGGTGGCTCACGCCTGGAATCCCAACCCTGGGAGGCCGAGGCAGATGGGTCACCTAACTTAGGTGTTCAAGACCAGCCTGGCCAACATGGCGAAACACCTACTCTACTAAAAATACAAAAATTAGCCAGACATGGTAGCAGGCACCTGTAATCTTAGCTACTGAGGAGGCTGAAGCAGGAGAATTGCTTGAACTTGGGAGGCAGAGGTTGCAGTGAGCCAAAATCACTCCATTGCACTCCAGCCTGGGCAACAAGAGTGAAACTCCATCTCAAAAAAAAAAAA